GAGGCGGGCGGATTGCTCAAGGTCAGGAGTTCAAAACCAGCCTGAGCGAGACCCCGTCTCTACCATAAAAATAGAAGGAAATTAATTGGCCAACTAATATATATAATATAAAAATCAGCCGGACATGGTGGCTCGTGCCTGTAGTCCCAGCTACTCGGGAGGCTGAGGCAGGAGGATCGCTTGAGCCCAGGAGTTTGAGGTTGCTGTGAGCTAGGCTGACGCCACAGCACTCACTCTAGCCTAGGCAAGAAAGAAAGACTCTGTCTCAAAAAAAAAAAAAATATTAAAGACAATCTGAATGCCCATTAGTAGGGGGATTCCACATTATGGAATATCCATCAGGTGGAATGCTGTACAGTCACATGCATGATATGAATTGGCATGCGAAGATATTCTCAGTTAATTTTGTTTTTTACATAGCCTTTCCTCTGAGCACTGAGTTAATGTTTGAATGAAAAAAAGTGTCTTGGCTGGGCGCGGTGGCTCACGCCTGTAATCATAGCACTCTGGGAGGCCGAGGCGGGCGGATTGCTCGAGGTCAGGAGTTCGAGAACAGCCTGAGCAACAGCGAGACCCTGTCTCTACTATAAATACAAAGAAATTAATTGGGCAACTAATATATATAGAAAAAATTAGCTGGGCATGGTGGCGCATGCCTGTAGTCCCAGCTACTCGGGAGGCTGAGGCAGTAGGATTGCTTGAGCCCAGGAGTTTGAGGTTGCTGTGAGCTTGGCTGACTCCATGGCACTCACTCTAGCCTGGGCAACAAAGCAAGACTCTGTCTCAAAAAAAAACAAAAAAGAAAAAAGTGTCTTACAAAACTTTATGTATCATTCTACTTATTGTTGACAAAGTGGGGCTGGCACAGTGGTTCACGTCTGTAATCCTAGCACTCTGGGAGGCTGAGGCTGGCAGATTGTTTGAGCTTGGGAGTTCAAGACCAGCCTGAGCAAGAGTGAGATCTCATCTCTACTAAAAAAATAGAAAGAAATTAGCTGGAAAATTAAAAATATATGGAAAAAATTAGCTGGGCATGGTGGCGCATGCCTGTAGTCCCAGTTACTCAAGAGGCTGAGGCAGATGATACATTAATCATAGTATAAATAAAAGGAAGCTGAGGCAGGAGGGTTGCTTGAGCCCAGGAGTTTGAGGTTGCTGTGAGCTAGGCTGATGCCACAGCACTCTAGCCTAGGCAACAGAGAAAGACTCTGTCTCCAGAAAAAAAAAAATGTTAATAGTGGTTGAATTTTAGGTAATAAAATACTAAAAGAAAATGACCTGAGATTTTTAAAATTTATTTTTTATTCATTTATTTTTTACTTAGAACAGGCTTCAGTGCTGAATTTTTAAAAAATGTTAACAATTTCCAGTCCAGTGACAGACAATTAATTATGCCTGCTCGACTTGTCTGGCTATGTGTTCATAATACTTAAGTTTTGGCTAGGTGAACATTAATGTCCCCAATCACCAGTTCACACTGTAAGATTTTTAGTGTAGTAAGAAATGAGAGTTGATGGATACTGGATGATTTCCAACCTTTCACTAGCAAAAATAATTGAACTGCAGACAAAATTAGAATTGGAAAACCAAACAATTTCCAGAATGGGGACCAAAGACACATCAAAGTTTACAAAAATTGCCCTGTAGTGTACCAATATTACCAACTCATCAACCAATTTATCATTTCCACCAAATTAGTTTTTGACCTAATGGTCTGCTGCTGCCTTCACAAACCTTTTTTTCGGGGCTGCGTTTGGATGCTTAAATCAGCTGGGTAGAGGAACCTCGTATCTTCCAAACCTGTTTTATAGGTGGGGAAACAGAGGCCCAGGGACAGGGACTGAGCCAAGGGCACAGTGAATTTGATGCCCAGCTAGAACTCAAATCCACTTCAGCATGCAAGGCATCTGCATGGGTCTTCACTGAGGCTCACAGCTAGGGTTGCCAGATTCAGTAAACAAAAATGTAAGATGTCAGGCAGGACACCATGGCTCATGCCTATAATCCTAGCACTCTGGGAGGCTGAGGTGGGAGGATCACTTGGGGCCAGGAGTTTGAGACCAGCCTGAGCAAGAGCAAGACCCCATCTCTACAAAAACTAGAAAAAAATAGTGGGACATGGCAGTGTGCACCTGCAGTCCTAGCTAATTGGGAGACTGAGGCAGGAGGATCGCTTAAGCCCATGGCCCAGGAGTTTGAGTTTACAGTGAGCTATGATGATGCCACTGCACTCTAGCTGGGGTGATAGAGCAAGACCCTGTCTCAAAAAAAAAAAAAAAAAAAAAAAAAGTAGGATGCCAAGTTAAATGTGAGTTTCAGAGAAACAACAAATACATTTTTAGCATAAGTTTGTCCCAAATGTTGTGTCTGTGAAATTCAAATTTAACTGGGCATCTTGTATTTATCTGGTAACCCTACTCAACCCTGCTTCACAGAGCCTACCCTGTGAACAAAAGACCCCAGATGTTCCTTGTCTGCCCTCTGCTATTCCCACTGGCCCCAGAGATGCCCCAGGCCATGTCCAGACTAACATGCTTTGAAAGTCTGACCCTGACTCCCACCCTGGTGGCCTTTTTAGCTGCCTCACTTCTCTCCACAGCTGAACTTTCTGCCTCCTTAGCATTTGCTTCTTCAGCCCTGCGGACATCATCCATCCCGTCCAGCTCTTCAAGGCAGCTCTCTGCAAACACCTGCGTGGCTGGTCCTTCCCAGCACCCAATTCTAAGGCCGCAACCACCTGCCAGCTCCCGTCTGGGCAGCCCAGTATCCTGCTTCTTCTCAGTCATCTCCTCTTCCCCAGAATCCCACCCCTGCCCCTTGCCCTACTCCCGGTGCTTCCTGGGCAATCCCATGGACTCCTGCAGTGAATACCCAGGGGCTGATATCTCCTGTTCTCTTTCTCCAGCTAGACCCCTATACCAAGCCCAGGCCTAGTTGCACCCCGGCCTGCTGGATGCCCCGGGGCCCCAGGAACTCCAGGTTGGCTACTTTGCTCTTTTCTTTCTTTAGAACACTTGCAAGGCTCCTCGGGCACTCAGGATAAAGTCTGAACGTCTTGGGCTAGCAGACAAAGCCCTTCACGGTCCACCTCTGACCACTTCTCCAGCCTTCTGCATGCCACTCACACTTCTCAGATTTTCTCACAATCTCATCAGGCTTCAGATGGCTTCAAATATCATCATTCCCCTCCTCTCCCTGCTCATCTTGGAGGACTCTGCCCCCATGCCCATGTCATCTGTTCTGGAAGACCCTAGTCCCCTCCCAACTGGGTAAGCTGCTGCCTATGTTCCTTCCATCTTACCATGGAGTGTCCTAAGTTACCTGCTGCTTACCTGTCTCTCCCAAGGGACAGATGAGATTGTGTCTTCTCCACCTCTCCATCCCCAGCATCCAACCCAGAGCCTGATCCCTGTTCCCAACACAGATCCCAGTTCCCTCCCTCACCAACGTGATCCCAGCCCAATCCAACTCTGCCCAGGCTCTGACCTCATCCAAGACCCCAGCTCCACTTTTCTGATCCATAGTCAGACGCGTTATGCACTGGCCCACACAGCTCCACTTTTGATCTTACTTCATCCCTGACCCTGACAGCATACATAGGAAAGGAACAAAGGCAGGTCTCTCCTACTTCCAGGGGTACGTCTCTGCCCTCCTGAACTTAGAATCTGTAGAGGAGCGTGAGGGGCAGAGGCTCAGCCTTCTGAGGCCACAGTGGAAGAGTTAACTCCTTACAGAGGACTTCTGACTAGGAACAAAGCCCTTGGACTGCAGCCTCCTCCTGCTGGGTAAGCTAGGAGGGGTGGGAACTGCGCCTATGCAGGTTCCAGACCTGGCTTGGTCTTTGGCACCCTCTAGAGGACGGTTTCATTCCTGGATCTGGACTTTGGGTAACCAAATCCTCTTCTAACAATGACGGGCTACAGGGCCACAGAAGCCCCCTGGACCTACTGCCCACAGTTCACTCACCTGGCAGGTATCTTACAGTTTGTAGACCAGTGACAACTCATGTCTCAGCACGGGCCACCTGTTCAAATCCCAAACTACACTCTGGGAGGCCGACGTGGGCGGATTGCTCGAGGTCAGGAGTTTGAAACTAGCCTGAGCAAGAGTGAGACCCCGTCTCTACTATAAATACAAAGAAATTAATTGGCCAATATATATAGAAAAAATTAGCCGGACATGGTGGCGCATGCCTGTAGTCCCAGCTACTCGGGAGGCTGAGGCAGCAGGATTGCTTGGGCCCAGGAGATTGAGGTTGCTGTGAGCTAGGCTGATACCACAGCACTCACTCTAGCCTGGGCAACAAAGTGAGACTCTGTCTCAAAAAAACAAAAACAAAAACAAATCCCAAACTGCCTGCCTTGGGGCCCAGCCAGGCCCTGGCTCGAGAAGTCCTCTTGGACCGCAGCGGTCCTTGGCTCCCCCAACCCTGCCTCGGTCACTGAGCTCCCATAGCCCTGACCAAAGCCTCACACTCTGGTCCAGCTTTTGCCGCTTCACAGAGGCATCTCTTGCCTTTCCTAAGGGAGGTATTTCCTGAGGTCAGGGTTTATATTGCCTCCTGCTGGCCTCAGACTAGGACCCCCAGAGGACCAGGCCTGGGTTTCTACCCTCTCAGACTGAGGTTTCCCTGCAAGTATGGTTTATGCATCCTCCTTCCTCTCAGGCCAGGGGACCCTGAAAACCAGGCCTGAGTCTCCCCTTCCCCCTTCAGACTGGCGGCTCCCTGAGGACTGACCCAGGGTATCCACCCACCCTTTCCATCTGGCTGTTGATCTCCAGAAATTTCCACCTCCAGTGCCCATTCTGCACAGCTCTCCCCATGGCTGGGGGCTCAGGAGCCTCTGTAGCCTTCCCCAGGCCTGGGGCTCTGGGAGGGTTTCCTCAGGCTCTGGCCCAGAATCAGACTGGGAGGACTGGCCTTTCCTCTACGACCGTGAGGCCCAGAGTGCGAGCTCTACCTCTGACCTCACAAGGGCTGCCTCAGAACTCGGTCTCCATGGCGCCACTGGCAGGCGGAGGGATGATATTTTGGGCAGTACGGCTGGACTTGGCTCAAGTAGCAACAGCCAAATCCCTGCTCTACTGACCTCTCCCCTGGAAGGGCAGGAACAGCCCTTGAGGCTGCCTTGGGCGGGGGGTGGGGTGGGGGGTTGAGAGGCAGGCTCTAGACTGGAAACGGACAGCAGAGCCCCAGCTAGGGGTGCAGCCTGAGCTGGGGACAGTCATGGAGGAACGAGATCAAGATCTGCTTTAACTGAGAAGGCCCCAGAGCAGAGGCTGAGAATCATAAGCCACTTCAGCAGGGTGAGTGGGGCTCCTGCTGGAAGGTCGGGGGCAGGGTGGCCTCTCCAAGGCCCAGACCCAGAGGGCCACTCCCTGGGGAACACAGAGGGAGGAGGTGTGGCTGTGGGATTGTCTTGGGAGGAAGCCCCGGTTGGGAGTTGAAGGCCTGGCTTTCTGTTCTGGTGCAGTCCTGTGCTGCTGTGTGATATGGGCACATCACACCCATTCTCTGGGCCTCAGTTTCCTTACCTGTAAGTTGACTGTTGGAAGGACCAGCAGTGGAGCAGAAAATGGGAGGATATATGGGGCTGGGCTGTCAGCAGAGCATGAGGGTGGGACGATGAGAGAGCTGAAGACCAGGTGTACTGGACCAAAGCAGAGGGATGCAGGTCAGGGACAGGCCAATGGCTGGTGGTTACTCCCACTGGAGGCTCCTCCTGAGGGGCTGGGGCTGGGGCTAGAGGGTTTCTGCAATCAGGGTTGGGGATGTGAATTTGTGCTGCAGCTCGAGGGAACTGGGCTAGAGAACGAGGAGCACAAACAGGATGAGGAAATCAAGGGTTACTTTCATGCTGTCAGTTTGAGAGGAAATTGGGAGTACAAGGGGGAATTTTAAGGAGAGTGAGAGTGTAGACCTTTTGTTTTGAGGTGCATGGACTAAATGAGCTTTTAGGGCTTCATCCTGTGTATTCGTTGTGTGTGTGTGTGTGTGTGTGTGTGTGTGTGTGTGTATGTGTGTGTGTACGCAAGGAAGAGATCCTGGAAAGTCACAGTTTAAGTCAGCAGCAAGGGAGCTTGAGGTTAGACTAATGGCATGATACTCAAATATGAGAGGCTGCAGCCACTGAAGGTGGAGGCCTATTTCCGAGGTGGAGGGAGGTGGGGGGCATTTCCAAGGTCCAGAGCTGGGAAGCAGACGTGGGAAGGTCAGAAGGACCTCTGCAGGGCCTGGTCGGGCCTGAGGACAGCACGGGCAGGGTGGTGGGGGAACTCCAGGGCCTTTCCCCAGGGGCTGAGGCAGCCCCCGCCTGCTGGGCTGGGTTGAAGGGGTGGTACCAGCAGGAGCTGCCCCATGGCTTCTTCCCTAGGAGGCTGAGGTCCAGTGGGAATGTGGGGCCAAGTTCCATGTCGCCCAGCCCTAGTAACCTGTCTTTGGCTCCACAGCATCTAAAAATCTGAAAGACAAAATATGTCTCAAGTAATCGGGCAGAGGCGGTAAGCACCCCATCCCATCCCCCATCCCCAGCGCCATCCTCCACCCGGCACATTTCAGTGTCCCCTCCCTGGCTCACCCTCAGCCTTTCCATTGTGGCAGCTGCTCTCCCCAGATCCCCTCCTTTCCACCCACTCCAGCCCATGGGGCCCCACAAGAAGGGCCTCTCCCACCTGTCTCTCACCCCCCATTGAACAGCCAAATCTCAGGCTGGGCCTTGAGGTGAGGGGAGGCCCAGAGAGTCCCAGATGAGGGTCGGCCATGGGTCAGTGGGTTCTGACTGTCCCCATGTAGGTGGTACTCAAATGAATGGAACTACCACCTCTCCCCCTCTCAGGCTCAGTTCTCTACGGTGAATAAGAACCAGAGTCCTTGCAACGGCCAAGGCCCTGCCTATCTAGTTCCCTTGACCCTCTGACCACCCCCACCTCTGGCTGCCTGCTCTCCCCACTCCAGCCACCCTGACCTCCATTGCTCGAGTCCTTCAGCGACTATTCCTTCTGCCTGAGGCACCCTTCCCACGGTTACCCATTCGGCCCACTCTCTCACCTCTTGTCTTTGCTCTAATGACACCTTCTGATGAGGCTTACCCTGATGGCCCTGTTTCGAACACCTCACCCTACCCACTGCACTCCCAGTCCCTTTCTCTATTGTTTCCGCAGGACTTACTACCTTCGGACAGACAAATGTGCTTGCTTATACATTCCACTGTTGTCAGCTCCACGGAAGCAGGGATATTTGTCTGTTTGTGCACACTTGGATTGAGAGAACGAATAGTGCCCCTTTGTATTGATGTACTGATGACATTGCTGTCTCCAGCCCACATCTCTCTCCTTGGCTTTATTTTTTTATATTGTTTTTTATTTTGATTTTTTTTTTAGACAAAGTCTCACTCTGTTGCCTGGGCTAGAGTGCTGTGGCGTCAGCCTAGCTCACATCAACCTCAAACTCCTGGGCTCAGGCAATCCTCCTGCCTCAGCCTCCCAAATAGCTGGGACTATGGGCATGCGCCACCATGCCTGGCTAATTTTTTGTATATATTTTTAGTTGGCCAATTAATTTCTTTCTATTTATAGTAGAGATGGGGTCTCGCTCTTGCTCAGGCTGGTTTTGAACTCCTGACCTTGAGCGATCCACCCGCCTCGGCCTCCCAGAGTGCTAGGATTATAGGCATGAGCCACCGCACCCAGCCTCTCCTTGGCTTTAGATCCTGTTTCCAAAGACCCACTGGTGTCCTACAGGCAGCTCAGATCCCAGCTGAAAACAGCCTCCTCCACTCTCCCTACATCCACTCATCCTCCAGTGTCTCTGCTCAGTCAGGGTCCCCTTCTCCTCTGCTGCTCAAGCCAGATGTCCAGGTCCCTCTTCTCCATGCTTCACACCTAGTCACCAAGCTCCTGAAATATCTAGAATGTGTGTGCTTCCCTCCACTCTTTCTAACACCACCCTCCTCACGCACGGCCTTCAGGCTACCACCTGCCCACGTCAGAACTCTCTTCAGGCCTCGCCGCCCAGCCCTCCCCTGAACTTCCTTGGTCCCAGGCTTCCCTTGTCTGGGGGTGTTGCCATAACCGTCTCTTCCACTAAATGGAGCAACCCAAGGGTGGAGACTGGATTTTGACTTTGTATCCCTGGTGCCTGACTCATAAGTAGATGCTCAATAAATGTTTGTTGAATGGAGAAATGTTGCTTAGCAGGTTGAATAGTTGGCTTCAGGGTAGTTGGATAGTTTATGGTTGATTAATTGATTAGATAATTACATGTGTTAATAGGAGAGTAATTAAATGATTGATAGCTGGTTAACAGGAGAGTCAGTTGGTTAAACTGCTAGATTAATGAGTCAAAGGGTCAGTAAGTTGTTAGCTATTTAGTTCCTTGGTTAGCAGATTACTTAGGTAATCTGGTTGGCTGTTAGTTTCTTGGTTTATACGCTAATTTTCCTGGATACCCTCTTTTTATTCTATACTCTCTCCTTGAGCTATCTCATATATGCCCATGGCTCAGAGGACCATCTATCACCACATCTGGTGACCTCCACATGTATATCTAAGCAAGACTACAAGGCCAGCTGCCTCCTTATGGGTCATCTCCACCTAAGTGTCTAGCAGGCTCTTCAACATATCTTGAAAGGACCTTGTCATTCTTCTGCCTAAACCCACAACTTCTCTCCTGTGCCCCATGTGGGTCATTTTGCTGCTCTAGCCAGAACCTGAGGTCATCACTGAGCCTCCCCTCTCCATTCCCTTCTCTAATCAAACACCAAGTTGGTCAGGTTGGCTGTGCTCTCTGGCCATCTTCACTGCCGCCTCCTTAGCCTCAGGCCACTGTCACCCCTCGCAGTCTATGAGAGAGAGAGGGCTCCCGACACTCGCTATGCCTTCACTCTGCTTCCTCCATCTTGGCCTCCACGGTCTTCTGGTTGAGTTCAGAGTCTGTAATGTGGGCCATGTGTTCTTTGCCACCTCACCCTGGCCCCCTCTGCCCATCTTGTGCCACTTTCACTCCTCCTCTGGCTAGCCCATCCTTGCAGAATTCCTCTACACATCCTATCATAGCTGCAGGCCTTTGCACCTGCCATTCCTATGCCCAGAACTATCACCCGCCTCCCCGGATGCTCCTTTACCTGGCCAGCCTTGACCCTTCCTCTGGGAGAGCCTCCTACACCCTCCCCCCCCCACCCCCTGCCAGGCCCTTCCCTTCCTCCACATGATCCCATGGTACCCACTCTTCACCTGTGGCAATACTTATCACACTTTATAGTAAGTAACCCTTTGCACTCGGATGTCGAGTGTGACTCGACACGGTTAGCAAAAATTATAGAGATTAAAATTACTCTTTGAATGTATCAATAATTTGAAATATAAAAAAATCCAAATAAATAAGTTTGTATGAAAAGAAACTTCAGTTTTTTATTCTACTTCTGTGCTTGTAAAATCTGGGGTATTTAAAAAATTAAATCCTGAGTAGAATAAAGGAATCAAGAAAAAAAGCAAGCAAGTGCAAAGGGTTAATTATTTTTCTACCAAAAATCTGGGATCACACCAGTGTCCTTTGCTGCAGTGCCTGAACACTGGAATACCAGGCATTCAATAAATCTTTGGATCATTGGCTGTTTGGTGGTTATTGTTGCTTTACTATGCCTTGCCTGCTGTGTGGTGATGAGGAAGGAGCCAGGCATCCAGACTTCTCTTGGTGTTCTTGGCTTCCTATTCTGTACACCTCTTCCCTGCCTCTGTGGTACCTCCCCAGGACTGTTATTGGGTTCCTGCCTGCATCAGGATGCTCACAGGAGGCGGCTGTAAGGGGATCCCTATATGATACTGCATGGGAGCTAGAGTTGGATGGAAGCCAGTGGTTGTCTAGGCAATGCTACATCCCCCTACATACACTCAGCCCTGGGTCTGTTTGTCTGGTGTAAGGAATAGAGCAACGACTGGGGTGGGTGAGATATGAGCATAGGGTCTCAGCTACCAAAGTGGAAAATGTTTTATTTCATTTTATTCCATGGCTGATGTAGGATGATGTAGTTGAGGGGCTGGTGTCAGCTTCCAGGCATCAAGACATTGAGGAGGGTGGGGTCACCAGTCTGAACAAGCACTAAGGTCACACTTAGAAGGACCTGCAGACCTCATTGCCTTCCCCAAACTTCAGTCCTCTACCTCTCCATCCATACAGATGTAGGAACATGCAACTCACTTTTTCATCTATCTGTCCATCCAAATGTGTACTTATTACACAAATTTTTATCAGGTGCCAAGCACTTTAGGAAGCTCTGAGGATCTAGTTGAGTGTAAGACAGATCCCCCAGTTCTCATTCATTCAACAAATATTTATTGCATATCTACTATGTGCCTGGCATTATTCTAGGCACTGAGGATACACCAGGAAGTAAGATCCAGTCCCTCCTTTTCTCCCTCCCTCTCTCTTGTTCATTCATTCACTCAAAAACATCTGTTTGTGTATACCTGGTTGTAGATCCTGGTGCATTTTGCTGACCCCTGCATCTCTGGCAGAACCTGGTGCATGTTTCAGGGCTCAGTGCTGTTTATAGAGCCCGGCAGCAGACTTTGCACACTCCATGCTGTTTGCAGAGTGCCTCATTATTGCCAGGCCCTGGCATGTGACCCCAAAGCTCTGCCTCCTGCAGCTAGGCAGACAGACAACTAAGCTCCACTTTTCAGCCTGCTCTCTCCCACCCTGCTTCTCCCCAGAGGCTCCTTAGCACCACAGACTTTACTTTCAACTCCCCACCCCTCACTCCTGTGTGGGAGGTGTGGGAAGGGTGCCTCATTTGTGTATCCTTCCCACGGGTCCAGTCCTAACTAGAAGGAAGTAGGGGGCCTGGCCTGGCCATCTAGCCTAGTTCCTCTCCATGTCCCTGTGGCTCTCAGGTGTCTCCCATCCTAGCTGTCCCAGCTGCCTTGGGCAAGAGGAGGTGTGGCTGGGGAGGTTGCTGGGTTACCCATTAACTCAACCATGAGTTCAGGGCCAATGGGCAGCAGGTGGACTTGAGTCTCCTTTCTGTCCATGGCTTGGGCTGCTGCTTCAGGTCCACCCGCAGCACCAGGATGAACTCCAGTTCGGTGATTACGTCGGTGCATACAACACTGAGGAGGCAGATGGTACAGGAGTTCCTGGCCGAGTGCCTGAGCACATATGTCATGATGGTGAGTGGGTGGGTGGCATTGGGTGGGTGAAGCACAGCAAGGGCAGCCCATGACCCCCTTCCCACTGCTGACCTTATGGGTCATGCTGTCCATTCCCCTGCCTTTGAGCTAGGAGCCTGGGAAAGAAGCAGAGAAAGGTAAAGAGAGGGGCCTTTCTCACCAAGTCTTCTGGGACAGAAAGGTCTCATAATATGTGGGAGTAGAGTGAAACCATGGGCTGGGGTATCCAGGGGCATGGCTAGAAGTGTGGACAAGGGAAACCAAGGGTAAAGAGATTGAAGAGAACCTTTGAATGTCAGGCTTTAAGAATTAATCCTAAAGGCAATGGGATGACATTGACAGTTATTGAGCAGGGGAGTGAGATGATCAGATTTAGGTTTTTGAAGGTAATTTTGGATGCAGTGTGAGGCCTAAGCAGGACAGGCAAGGCTGGCAGGAGGGAAGTCCGCTAGAGGCTGCGGTAATGATCTAGGATAGAGAGATGGTGGTGGCTGGTCTGTGGATGGAGAAGAAAGCCTGTGTTCGAGAGAGCTGTAGAAAGTGGGATCAAGGGGACTTTGCAAGCAGCAGATGTGGGGGAGGTGCTGATGTGACATTTTGGAGCCAGCCCAGCACAGGGTGAGAGGTGAGGTTGGTTTGGATGTGACCAGGTGAGATGCCCACGGAGAAATCCAGGAGAGACTTAAATATAGAGGTCTGGAGCTCAAGAGAGAGGCTTAGGCTGGAAGGAAAGGTTTGAAGTTCATCAGAATATGAGTGGTGTTATCAAAATTGTCCAGAGAGAGTATATAGAAAGAGAAAAAAAGAGGTTGAGGACAGAGCCCTGAGGAATGAAGAAGTATATACAAAGGAGCCTGGGAGAGAATGATCAAAGAGGTAGGAAAACCAGAAGGGACAGTGATACAGAAGGGAGGCAGTAGTTCCACCAGGAGAGAGAGTTAGCAATGTGGGAAGCTGCAGATGGGACAAATGAGGTGAGCACTGACAAGGCACCCTAGGGTGTGGGAACATGGAAGTCACTGGTAACCTTCACAAGGGCTCTTCTTTTTTTTCTTTTCTTTTCTTTTCTTTTTTCTTTTCTTTTCTTTTCTTTTTTCTCTCTCTCTCCCTTCCTTCCTTCCTTCCTTCCTTCTCTCTCTCTCTCTCTCTCTCTTTCTTTTCTGAGATGGAGCCTCGCTCTGTCACCTGGAATAGAGTGCCATGGTGTCAGCCTAGCTCACAGAAGCCTCAAACTCCTGGGCTGAAGCAATTCTCCTGCTTCAGCCTCCTGAGTAGCTGGGACTATACGCACACGCCACCACACCCAGCTAAATTTTTTTCTATTTTTAGTAGAGACGGGGTCTTACGCTTGCTCAGGCTGGTCTTGAACTCCTGACCTCAAGCGATCCCCCTGCCTGGGCCTCTCAGAGTACTAGAATTATAGGTGTGAGCCACCCTGCCCGGCCAAGGGCTCTTCTTTAATGTGTGATCAGGACAGAAACCAGACTATAAGTGGGATGTGAAGTTTCTTGGAATCTCCATCTCCTCTTCCCTACTTCAGCTCTGTCACTTACCCCAGTGAGCCTTTGCCCTTCACAGGACCTGTAGCCATGGTTGTTGCATCTTATGGAGGGTCCGGGTCCAGGAAAAGAAGGGGCAGCCTCTGGGAAGGGAAGCAAAGGTAGTCAGCTGCATGCCAGATGAAGTAGGGGTAAGAGAGGCTGTGTGTGTATGTGTGTGCGCGTGTGCAGGCGGGTGTGCATGCACGTGTGTGTGTGTGTGTGTGGTTGTGTATGTATGAGTGAGCTTGAGTGTAACTGTGCAGAAGAGGGTGGGGCCCAGGGATACCAAGGGCTGGAGGGACTCTGGGTTCTTATCCTGACCCTGCTACTGAGTTAATTACCAGGTGACCTTGGGCAGGTCTCTTCCTGGCTTAAAGCCTGTCTTCTCACTTACTAAGTGTGTTGAATCAGGCCTTCACAGGCTTTCGAGCTGGGTTTAAAGTCCTGCCATCTTCTTTCTGTGTCATCTTCCACAAGTATAGTTAACTATTCAAAACTTTAGCTTTGGCTGGGTGTGGTGGCTCACACCTATGTAATCCTAGCGCTCTGGGAAGCCAAGGCGACCGGATCACTTGAGGCCAGGAGTTCAAGACCAGCCTGAGCAAGAATGAGACCCCATCTCTACAAAAAAGAAAAGAAAAGAAAAATTAACCAGGTGTGATGGTGCACACCTGTAGTTCTAGCTACTTGGGGACTGAGGCAGGAGGATCGCTTGAGCCTAGGGCCCAGGAGTTTGAGGTGGTGGTGAGCTATGATAACGCCACTGCACTCCAGCCTGGGTGACACACAGTGAGACTCTGTCTCAAAAAAAAAGAAAAGAAAAGAACTTTCGCTTCCTTGTTGGTAGACATGAACACAAATCGAGCTGGCAGACTCTGTGAAGGCCAAGTGCCAGCACCCAGCACACATGTGATACCCACGTGTTGGCCCCTTGTTACTATGACAAGTGCTCTCAGTTTCTCTCTCCTTCCTGCATCTGGCCCTCTCCCCCTCCTCTCTTACCTGCTTTCCTGCTTCCGCTCCTGAGCGGTGAGGACAGCAGCTGGATCCTGTCCCTCCATAATCCAGAGCAAAGTAACTAATTTATGACAAGACATTCCAGCCCTATGAGGGCTGTTAAACCTTGGAACCTCGGAGGCAGGAGGGTGCCTCCTCAGAGAGCTCTTAGGCAAAGCAGGCATCCCACACACACATTGGTACCTGCCTATACCTGTGTTTCCCTTCACTTTACTGAGGTTATTATTGAGCACTTACTGTATACTAGGCACTATGATGCTACACCCCTTACATGCAGCATCTTCCCAAATCTTCACAACAGCCCTGTGAGATAGGTACTATTATTATCCCAATTTTACAAATGGGGAAACTATGACTAAGAGTTTAGTCATGGGGAAACATGAGACTAAGTCACTTGCCCACGGTCACACTTTAAGGCACGGTCTTGACCCTTAACCTCTATGCTCTGTCCCTTAGCTTAACTGGCAGGCTTTTTAAGACTCTGGACTGTTAACTCTCCCCTAGGCGGGATAAGGCCCTCACTGTCAGGCTTTGGGTAGTTCAGGATGCCTCTCTGGGCTTCAGTTTCCCTAACTGGAGAGTGGGAGCAAAAATACTTGCTACAAAGGGTTGCTGTGAGTATTGAAGGGCAGTAATGCTTATAAAAGATTTATGAGAGGCTGGGCAAGGTGGCTCACGCCTGTAATCCTAGCACTCTGGGAGGCTGAGGCGGGTGGATTGCTCAAGGTCAGGAGTTTGAAACCAGCCTGAGCAAGAGTGAGGCCCCGTCTCTACTATAAATAGAAAGAAAATCAATTGGCCAACTAATATATATATATAAAATTAGCCAGGCAGGGTGGCGCATGTCTGTAGTCCCAGCTACTTGGGAGGCTGAGGCAGGAGGATCGCTTGAGCCCAGGAGTTTGAGGTTGCTGTGAGCTAGGCTGACCCCACAGCACTCACTCTAGCCTGGGCAACAAAGTGTGACTCTGTCTCAAAAAAAAAAAAAAAAGATTTGTGAGGTTTAGGCTCATATAGGACATTGTGTTGTTTTTTTGATTTCTTTTTCTTTTGTTATTTTTAGTTGCCAGGCTGTGCCAAGAAGTGGGGGCTTTTGCAGTGGATAGGAAGCTCAGTGAGTCACCAGGGTGAAGGTTTTGCCAAAAAAGCTAACATGACCTTGGGCCCCATTTATTGTAGCCAGGATGAAGGAAGTGGACTGTTCCACTCTACAGCCTCCAGGGGTGTTGTCCTTGGAGCTGGCCTCCTGGCCTCCTGGGTGTTCGGGAGATGTTGATGGGCTAGGCCACATTCACTGACCAGGGAAGGAGAGGTGTGGCTGGAGCCATCTGCCCTGGAAAACCAGCCATGCGCGTGAGCCACAGGGCAAGGTTGCCAATGCATGTGCCACAGAGGGTGAGAGAGAGTCAGCTCAGGGTGATAGGGACTTTGGCTAACTGCAGAGTGCTGATGTGTGTAAGGGTGTAGCTGCCACTTCTTCAGCTGACCATTGCCAGGAAGAGTACAATGTGGGCCAGTGCTGCATGAGCTTCTCTTTTTTCAACAGAGGCTGAAATTTCTGGTCTTCAAGACCAACTTATCAAAACATAACAGCCTTCCAGACCCAACTCTGCACCCCCACTCCCATCTGTGCTAATCCTCTTCTGCTGTGTTCTATCCTGGACCCTACCATCTCTGGGCTCCCCTGCACCTGTCCTGGGGCTCCTGAGGGACCCAGTGGGTCTTGCTCAACTGCCTCTTCCCTATCCTCTCCTGGCTATTTGACATCTTCTCAGACTTCCCCCAAGCTATTCTGTACTGTGCCTGTCCTTTTTATTAGCAAATGGCTTGATCTCCTGTTTGACAGAGAAAATCATCATGTGGACCTCCTGTGTCAAGCTCCTCACTCTCCTGGCCCTCTTACCACCAGACCCATTATCTCCTTGAGAAACTGTTTCTTTCTTTCTTTCTTTTTTTTTTTGAGACAGAGTCTCAATTTGTTGCCCAGGCTAGAGTGAGTGCCATGGCGTCAGCCTAGCTCACAGCAACCTCAAACTCCTGGGTTCAAGCGATCCTCCTGCCTCAGCCTCCCAAGTAGCTGGGACTACAGACATGCGCCACCATGACCGGCTGATTTTTTGTATATATTTTTAGTTGGCCAATTAATTTCTTTCTATTTATAGTAGAGGCGGGGGTCTCGCTCTTGCTCAGGCTGGTTTCGAACTCCTGAACTCGAGCAATCCGCCCGCCTCGGCCTCCCAGAGAGCTAGGACTACAGGCGTGAGCCACCGCGCCCGGCCGAGAAACTGTTTCTTGAAACACACTCTCCTTGAGAAACACACTCTCCTTGAGAAATTGTTTCTACCTGGTGTCCATGACACATTCCCTCTTTGTTCCTCTCCCATTCCAACACCTGCTTCAGCTGAGGTTTCTAATGCCCACCTGTGAGTGCTGATGTGTGGCTCTAGGTTCAGCCACTAGCTTCCTTCTCACCTGTACCTCTCCTGGGGCCTTCACCCACTGATGGCTTTGGCTTTAGCTCTCATGTTCACTATTCTCCAGATTTTCTCCAGCCTACTTGGGTAGTTTGCTGTCTAAGGCAAATACAATTTGCACCACATATGTAATTTAAAATTTTCTAATAGCTACATTAAAAAGCTAAGAAGCAACAGGTAAAATTAATTTTAGTAATTATATTTAACCCATATATCTAAAATATTATTTCATGTAGTCAATATAAAATTATTAAGATAGTCTACATTCTCCTTTCCCTACTACTCTTTGAAAGCTGGCATATATTTTACACTTATAGCAGATCTCAATTTGGACTAGCCACATTTTAGGTGCATAATAGCCACATGTGGTTAGTGGCTATCATATTGGATGACACAGATCTAGATCCCAATTTCCAGCAGTTTGGACATCTAGAAGTCCCTCAAAAACTACATGTGCAAAACACATGGACTCATCAAAGGAGGTGCCATCTGAGATTGGCCTTATAGAGTATCAATTTTCAGGATTTAGGATCAAGTATTCCAGGCAGAGGGAACAGCATATGCAAAAACACAGAGGCACGAGAAAGCAAGGCATGCACAGAGCAGTGTGGTTGTTTGGTCTGAGGCCATCTGTCATAGGTGACTGCCTGGATTCAGTCCTGGCTCACCATGTGTAGGCTGTGTGACTTTGGATAAGCTGTTCAATTTCTCTAAGCTTCAAGTTGCCCCTCTGTCAAATGTGGAGAACACTAGTACCTAACTCATAAGATTAGTGTAAGGGTTAAGGGAGGTGATAGAATAACTTGCTTACCAGTACCTGGCACATAATAAGTGCTCAATAAATGGTTATTTTTATTTAATAGTGATACTACTGTTGAACATAGAGAATATTGGGGCAGATATGAAACTGAGAGGCAGAAGGAATGAAATTATGAGTTTGGACTTCATCCAAGAAATGGAGGGGAGCCAGTGAATGTTTGAGCAAGGGACAGACATGATCAGATTTTTGTTAGAAAGGTCTCTTTGGCTGCTAGCAGGAGGCTGGATAAGAGCTGGAGAGAATGTAGCAGAATTGATTGGGTGTTGGGGAGGAGAGGGAGGAAACTCTCATTTGAGACATCTGGGTTTCTAGCTTGGCCAACTGGGATGGGGAACATAGGGTGAGGAGCAGGTTTTCTGAGCGATGGTGAGCTTTTAACATAGAGCCTGAGACGCCGATGGAACACCCAGGAGAGTCCCAGCAGGTATTTGGAAATAGGGATCTGGCTCCCACGTGGAGATTGTGGGAATTTTAGTGTACCAAGCCTATCTGAAGCCATAGACCTGGTAGGAAGACCCAGGAAGGGTGACTAGGCTGAGAAGTGAAAGGGGCCAGGTATGGAGCCTGTGGTCATTTGTGTTCATGAGGCAGATGAAGGAAGAAGAATGTGAGAAGGAACTGTAGAGAGGGAGGGCTAGCAGGGTGAAAGGAAAACCAGGAGAGAGAGAGATGTCAGGAAGACCAAAGAGGCACTTTCCAGAAGCGCAGAGTGGTCAAGAGCACCAGAGTCAGCAAAGTCAAGTAAGACAGTGACTGAAGAGACCTTTGGGAAATGAGGCGGTTGCTGGGGCCCTTGGGGAGAACTTGGGTGTCTGTGACACGTGGAAGCAGAAGGCAGATCGAGGAGGGAATGCAAGGTGAGGGGTAAAGGAGCTGGCCAGGGGGTTCTTCCCTGGAGCCTGACTGGAACAGGGAGGGGCATCCAGGAGCCCATGGCTGGAGAGGTAGTCGGGAAGGTTTGTCAGACTCGAGTTTGTGGGTGCCAGTCAAGGGGAAGGAGACAGGTACAGGCAAGAGGGAGGCATTTCTAGAGGGAGAGGGTGGGCACAGGCAGTGGAGCTGAAGGGAAGGTGGACACAGACTGAGGTTGGGTGAGGGCCTCTATTCTCCCTGTGAAGGTGGGGTCATCTGAGGAGTGGCTGGAGGGGGGCAAGATTAAGAAGTTCGGGAATGAGGGCAAGAGATTTAGAACTCCACTGGCTTTCAAGGTTGTTGGGTGTAGGGTGCAGAGTCCAGGCATGGAGTGTGAAGATCCCTGGAAGAACTTCCTTCAGGTTAGCCTCTAGTGTGAGATGCTCTGAGGGGGCTCCGTTCACACCATCCACCCCTTCCTCACAGCCCTGCCTCATCCTGAACTTCGGGGGGGCTTGGGGTTTAGGTGCCTGGATGTGTATCGTAAGAGCCCCTAACTCTGCCACTGCCCCCAGCTCCCCAAGCTCAGGTCTGAGAAGTCTTGACAGGGGCAAGGGCGGAGAGGTCACAGGAGGGAAGGCTCTTGAGGAAGAGGGCATTGCAGAGGGTCTTTAAGGGGAATTCTGTGGAGGCCTACGGCCTGGAGGTGAGGAGCTGACTGAACTCTGAGCCCTCTCCTCTGAGGTTGGGGCTTCTGGGCAGGCGACCCTCTTAGAGACCCTCCCTTGTAGGTGTTTGGCCTGGGTTCCGTGGCCCATATGGTTCTAGGAAATAAAACATTTGGGAGCTACCTCGGTGTCAACTTGGGTTTTGGCTTCGGAGTCACCATGGGAGTGTACATAGCAGGCAACATCTCTGGTGAGTGAGTCCTGGTCCCGCCTGACCCAGCAAGAACAGGTGTTCCCTGAGGGCTCTTTTTTGTCCACTTCCAGCCACTCCTTCTCTGGCACAGCTCGTGCCCACCCCTTTGTTGGCCACTTGGGGGGAGGAGAATACTTCTAACCCCTTGCCTATGAGTGTGTCTGCCCCAGACTCTTCATGGGCCCCCCAACCCACCATTTTTATTAGCTGGGTCCTTTTGGGCAAGTTACTTACCTTATCTGTCCCTCACTTTCTTTAATGGTGAAGTGGAAATGGTGGTCTCTGCCTTGTGGGGTTGTTGTGAGGGTTAAATGAGAGGAGTCTTGCCACAGAGAACACACTCCATAAACACCAGCCATTATTATTACTGTTGTTGTTGTTCTCAATGTTATCTATACTGTTGTTTGATTTTGCTCTCACTCCTCAACACACTTGCCCCCTTCCTATAGGGGCCCACATGAATTCGGCAGTGACCTTCACTAGTTGTGCACTAGGTCGCATGCCCTGGAAGAAGTTTCCTGTGTACGTGCTGGGTCAGTTCCTGGGCTCCTTCATGGCTGCTGCCACCATCTACGGCCTCTTCTACCGTGAGTGTTGTGCCCTGGGTTGTCTGCCTCTGGCCTCAGCCTCCACCTCTGAAATATGGGCAGATGGAAACTCAATGTCCTGGTCTGTAAAAACCTCCAGGAGAGAAAAGCCTTGTAGCCCCCCAACCTTCTATTCTATAGCCTCATTTCGGGGACCCCAGTGGGGTTTAGCAGGGTGGGGGCTCAGGTTCGCATTCAATCTGTGTCTCCACAGCAGCCATTATCCACTTCTCGAGTGGAGAGCTGACGGTGACTGGTCCCACAGCCACTGGTGGCATTTTTGCCACCTACCTTCCAGATCACATGACACTGTGGCGGGGCTTCGTGGATGAGGTCAGTGGTCCAGGATGGGTACCCCTCCCCAAGCCTTCCACCCCTCAGGAAGGAGCCAGCAGGGAGCCCCTCACGTTAGAGAGGACAAGAACTCTGGAAGGGGATTGTACTAAGACATGTCTCTGCTGGTGGGTTTGGATTTGGGGCAATCCTGGGGCCCTGCGGCTTGTCTAGGGGCCCCAGGTAGGCTGCCACAGCATCTGCTCCCCAGGTGATAGTGACGGGGATGCTCCAGCTGTGTCTCTGCGCCATCACGGACAAGGATAACCCAGAACATCAAGGGACACAGCCCCTGGTGATTGGCTTCCTTATTGTCATCATTGGGGTGGGCCTAGGCATGAACTCAGGATATGCTATCAATCCCTCCCGGGACCTGCCCCCCCGCTTCTTCACCTACCTTGCCGGCTGGGGCACGCAAGTCTTCAGGTACTGCCCCTGGCCAGGCCCATTCCTTGGGTTTTCTGGGGGTCCTCTGCATGTAGAGGGGTGGGGGGTGATGTGAGGAGCAGCACAAGAGAGTCCTGTAGAGCTCACAGGTGGCCAGGGGAGGAGTGGGTCCCCAAGTTCCCCCAGACCAGCACAGATGCAGACCCTGATCCTGGACTGAATGTCAACCCTGTCCCTAAATCAGGCTGAGGGTGTCTCCTGGGGTATGATGGGGATGACTCCCCTACACACCCCATCTTGGCCTGAGGTGGATGTGGTGTTGTCCTGAGCATCAGTCCCCTCAGTAAGCCTCTGCCTCTTCCCTGCAGGGCTGGGGATAACTGGTGGTGGGTGCCAGTGGTGGCGCCACCTCTGGGTGCTTACCTAGGTGGCATAGTCTACCTGGTCTTCATTGGCTCCAGCACCTCACGAAAGCCCAAGAAATTGGAGGACCCTGCGGCATATGAAGACCACAGGATATCTTCATTGCCCAAGACCAGCCATGATCCATCCATGATGTCTTCCCTCACCCCTGCCTCTGTGGCCCCTACCACCAGATCTCCAGTCTCTTCTTCCTTCACCCCTGTCTCTGTGCCCCCTATCAAAAGGTCTTCATTCCAGCCTGCCCCACCTGTACGTGACTCTGTGAATGAAGAGCACTTCTAAGTGGAGATTTTTTGTGACCCCATCCCTATCCCAATAAAGAAAGCCTGTCCCACAGCAGCAGCCCCCCAACATTTCCTGGGGGCCTCCTGTGGTTCTTCCAGGAGCTCTAGGGTTATGCCTTAGCCCAACGCTAGAGCATAGAGCTGAGAGGCCTCAACTTGTTCAAGCTCTGGGAGCTGGGGCACCCCTTGGGGGAGAATGGGGAAGAGCTGACCTGTGACCTCAGTAGGAAAAGAATGAGAAGAAAGGATGCCAGACACAGAATGGGGACTTTTAGGGATAGGGGAGGAAGGAATGGTTTGGTGGAAAGGACCACAGATAGCTGGTGGGAGGCTGGCTTTGGGGATACTTTGAAGGTGCTCAGGAATGACTCTAGATTCTCTCCTGGTTCTTTCCTTCCCCCAGTTGTGGCCAGTTCTTGGACCAGACAAGGCAAGGCCCAAGAATGCAGACAGAATTTCTCAGGCTTTTCTTTCATTAGTGCGCTCCTCAGCAGCCTTTTAGACATTTTTTTTTCTTAATCACATGAAAATTTAAAACCACAGATATACAATATATCTCTTTATGTACTGTATGTATATCTGTGCTACATACATTAAAAAAGTCAGATTTTTTTCACCCCCTTCCCAAGAATCAATTTTCATTCCCTTGAGAATGCTTGATACAGGTTGAAATCAGGTAAGGGTTTGGGCTTCTTTTCCTTCTTCCTGGTGCCAGAGCATTCCCACATGAAGGATTCCAGAGTTGGAAAGGAAGATGCAAAGAGAAAAAATACTTCAAAAAGGTGAAGAGACAGGAAAACATCTCAAGGGGCTCAGGCACAGAGGTGGGGTGGAGGAGGGAGAGCCAGGATCTGCTGGCCCTGGGGCCAGGCAGGAATCGTCCTATTTTCTGGGACTCAGAAGGCAGCATCACCCATCACTCACTCATACATTTAGTCTTTCAACAATTATTGAGCACCTCCTGTGTGCAGGCCCTGCATGGACACTGGGGATGTGCAGTGGATGAGGCTGGGTCTCTGCCTTTGAAGAGTGCAGTCTGATGGAGGTAAGTAAGAATGCGGAAGGAGCTAAGTGGTGGAGGGTGGGAAGCCTGGAGGCTGTGGGGCTCAGGGTGGTGGTGAGGGGCTCACAGCCAGCCTCTGGGCAGAGGCCAGAGATACTTTCCCAGAGGAAGAGACAGAGTAGAGTGGGGGTAGGAGTGTCCCTTCTGGGATGGGAACCATACTTTACAGTTTGAGGGAATAGGGGGCAGAGGAGGCTGGGTTTCCTTCTGGAGGAGGGAGACATGGTGAGATGAAAGCCCACCTGAGCTGCAGTGTGGATGCTGGCAACGGTGGAGACAGGCCTACAGAGACTGTGGTGAGAGGCAATAACCCAGGAGGAGCAGCAAGGCACCTGATGGGTCAGTGCTGTGTGCGTGGAGAGGAGAGATGAGATTTGATCAATGCCTAAGAGGTCCAACTGGCAGGATCTGAGCTTGGTTTGGATGGAGGAGTGGGTGAGGGAGAGGGTGGAGTCAGGGAAGATTTCCAGTTTCTAGCCTGGGCCTGGGGAGTTGGGGAAGTCCCCAGTGAGAGTGGAACACCAGTGAGGAACTAGCTTGGAGAGGAAAATGATAAGTGATATCATGGACATGTTGAGTTTGAGTTGCCTGTGAGATCTTAGGGTGTGAGAAGTGTGTGGTCTTGGGCAAGTTACTCAACCTCTCTGGGCCTTGGTCTTCTCATTTGTAAAACAGGTGATAAGATTATTACCTACCATTTGTATTGCTATGATTATTGAATAGACTAAAACATGTAAAATGCTTAGAATAGTTTCAGGCACAGAGTAAGTGCTCAATAAACACTCACAGTTATGCCTTCTATATGGTCTGGATCTCAGAACAGAGCTGGAGACAGAGCTTCGGGAAGTCATGGCTTTGTGGATGTAGCTATGCTGTGGAATAAGAAAAGAGGAGGGTCAGGGAGCAGAGCAAGAGGTGGCCAGGAGACACTGGGAAAAACCCAAATGTCCCTCAGCAAGGGAATAGATACATGCACTGCTGTACAACTGCACATAATAGAATATTGTGTAACAGTGGAAATTAAGGCATGACAAGTTCCTGAAACAACATGAAAACATTCTGAAGGCATAAAAAACAATATAGTAGACGATACAGTATGACACCAGTTTTATAGCTGAAGAACAAGCAAAAAGTAATATATTCTTTGGGCATATATATATATGTAATAAAACTATTTAAAAAATGATTCCTCCAAGGAGACAGGGTTGGAAAGGAACACAAGAGTAGTACAGGCTGTTAATAATTTTCTAGTTGTGGCTGGGTGGATCTTACCTGTAATCCTAGCACTCTGGGAGGCAGAGGCAGGAGAATTGCTTGAGCTCAGGAGTTCAAGACTAGCCTGAGCAGGAGTGAGACCTGGTTTCTACCAAAAAGAAGTTAAAAAAAAAAACCCTAGCTGGGCATTGCAGCACGTGCCTGTAGTCCCTGCTAGCCGGGAGGCTGAGCAGAAGGATTGCTTGAGCCCAGGAGTTGGAGATTACAGTACACTACAATGATGCAACTGTACTCTACCCTGGGTGACAGAGTGAGACTCTGTCTCAACAAAAACAAGGCAACTGAACACCCCTCCTCACGCTCGCTACCCCTTCATATTAAAAAAAAAAAATTCTAGTTCTGGGCCAGGTACAATGGCTCATGCCTGTAATTCTGTTTTTCTTTTTTTGAGACAGAGTCTCGCTTTGTTGCCCAGGTTAGAGTGAGTGCCATGGCATCAACCTAGCTCACGGCAACCTCAAACTCCTGGGCTCAAGCGATCCTACTGCCTCAGCCTCCCAAGTAGCTGGGACTACAGGCATGTACCACCATGCCCAGCTGATTTTTTCTTTTTTTTTTTTTCTTTTTTTTTTTTCAGCAAAACTGCCAGAAGATGATTTTTTCTATATATATATTAGTTGGCCAATTAATTTCTTTCTATTTATAGTAGAGATGGGGTCTTGCTCTTGCTCAGGCTGGTTTTGAACTCCTGACCTCGAGCAATCCACCTGCCTCGGCCTCTCAGAGTGCTAGGATTACAGGCGTGAGCCACTGACCCCGGCCACATGCCTGTAATTCTAGCACTTTGGAAGGCCAAGGTGGAAAGATGACTTAAGATCAGAAGTTTGAGACCAGTCTGAGCAAGAGTGAGACCCTTGTCTCAACAAAAAATAGAAAAACTATCAAGAGTGGTGGCATGTACCTATAATCCTAGCTACTTGGGAGGCTTAGGCAGGAAGATCACTTGAGCCCAGGAGTTTGAGGTTGCAGTGAGCTAAGATGATGCCACTGTACTCTAGCTGGTGCAACAGAGCAAGACTCTGTCTCAAAAAAAAAATGTTTTCTTCTAGTTCTGGGATTGGGGGTAAATTTATGAGTTTGTTATATGACTGTGCTTAATAACTTACATAAAAGTGATATATATTCGTTCGTATGTATCATATATTTAAAAAGATAAAAAGATGAAGAAACAGCTATAGCATAAGAATGGGACAAAGGGGAGAGGGTGATAGGTAGGGAGCCTGGTAAGATGACAGGAAATAAACGAAGAGGAGAGGCTGAGTATGTCTGATGTCCCATAGTGAGAGGAGCCAAGCCAGAGGAACCGGGGCTGGGAGCGACCAGGGAAGGACCCACAGCTGGAAGTCCCCAGCCATACAGTGGCTTCCCTTTGTGACCCTTGCCAAGCCCCTTTCCCTCTCTCAGCCTCACTGGCCCTGTGAGCATGAGGAGGTAGCCTTGGTCATTCCTGCATTCCAAAGCAACATGTCCCCATGGCTTTAGTCACAATACAGAGAGAGAGAGACATACATGGTGCCCTGGGTTCTGGTTCCTACCCTTTGCCCCTCACTGAACACTTCAGCCTTCTGGAGCTGTGTGGGCATCCTCATGTTCCTGGGAGGCAGCCCTGGAGGCAGAGCAGCCAGTGGGTCCATCTAGAACCCCCACCTGCTATCCCCTGATCTGCCATAGACTTGCACTAGGCCCACTGTCTGTAACACCTTTCAGGTTCTGGCCCCAATGTCAGGCTCAGATAAGCACTGACTGCAGCCACAGAGCAAGCCTTTGCATTCTCTTGGCAGACATTGGCTGAGAGCTTACACTGTGCCTGACACCATTTGAGTGTTGAGGAAGATAAAAGTCCTTGTTTTCATCGAGCTAATTTTCTACGTAAAATATATGGTGTGTTAGTGATAGATGCTAAGGAAAAAAGCAGGAAAGCAGAATAAAAAGTATGGGCAGGTCTGAAGAGCAGAAGGCCTCACTGAGAAGGTGACTTTGAGTAAAGACCTGAAAAGCCAGACTGGGCACAGTGGCTCATGCCTATAATCCTAGAGCTTTAGGAGGCCAAGGTGGGTGGATCGCTTGAGGCCAGCTTGGGCAACATAGTGAGATCCTGTCTCTACAAAAAACAAAAAGAAAAAACCTGAGGTGGGTGAGGAAGTGAGCCATGCAGATATTTGGGGGAAGAGCATGCCAGGCTGAAGAAACAGCCAATGCCCTGAGGGGCCATGGTGCTGGGATGGAAAGAAGGAAGGAAGAATAGAAGATGAGGTCAGAGAAGTAGGGATGGTGGGGGACTGAGACTAGTCCCAGGGGAGAGGTGAGACCAATGGGTGGGGCAGGGGTGAGTAAGGTCTCTGGAGGAGAGAGGCAGGTCCCACTCCAGAAGGAAGGAAGCAGCTAGGATAGAGTGAGTCTCTGCTTTTGGTTTTGTGTCCCTCCTGTAGACATATCTGTGCAGCTCCAGGAGCCAGGACTGGGACATGAGCCACAGAAGCACTGGGTCCTCTCCCATTCTTCCAGTCCCAGGCTGAGCACAGACTGGCTGTGTAACCTGCACAGGACTTCCTCTTTTCTCTGGGACTCTGTCTCCCCATCTGTACAATGAAGCTTGGCCCTGTTGGTATCTGGGGAGACCCCTGGCTCTGACTTCTAGCACTTTGAAGCCTCATGTCATAACCCCACTCCTCAGGCCAGGCCCCTTCAGGGCTTTGCAGATAAATGTTTGGTCCTCA